GTATATTGTGTATGTCCTTTATTTTGAAAAAACCTGGCCTATTACTTGTAGATTTAAGTTTTTGGTTTTACAATTGGTGAACTCAAAATGTTTCTATCTACTTTTGAGACTTTGAATTTATTGAAAATGGACCCTGGTACCGGTCATTCGGCCAAGACTTGAAATCTAATAATCATTAATCATAGGGACCGATTTACATCACCGAGATAGCACCAAGAAACTTGCGAGGAGCTGCTTCTTCCTTGGTGCAGGTAAATTAAGTGAACCAAAATATTTGAAACTATAGTACAGAAATGTAAGATCCTACAATACGAGTTTGGAATGTTCTACAGTTATTTGTCGGTGTTGGTATATCGGCTTTTTATGCACTTGGAACAGTCGTTGCATGGCGCAATTTAGCCATTTTGGGTATGTAAAAGAGATCTATTTTCATCGAATGCAAAAATCGGACTGTTTCATTTCCCGAAAAGGTTTGTACTAATGGTTTTGTACTAATGGTTTCGTGTTTTTGTCTTTGGACAGGATCTTTGCCTTCTCTTATGGTTCTGCCTCTGCTTTTCTTCATCCCCGAATCGCCTAGATGGCTAGTAAGCCTTTGGTTATTTAAAATGTCTGCGCTTGCGCTTATGTTTATATTTTAGGTTCTTCTTTTTAACCTTCCAAGAAAATATCACATTTTAGTGTTTCTGTCAAGATCTTTTGGAAGTTTTAAAATCAAAGTTGATAAGCCTTGGAAAATTACGTCTCTTTACATTTTGATCGTCTTTAAGTGTGTAAACTGTAAACGTAATATTTTCTCAGTAAGTCTGACAGAACGTTACTCTCTTTCCTCCCCTTTAATCAATTAGATACGATAAAAATGCATTAGCCAAAGACTTAATGCATGCTTTAGCATTGGTGAGCTTAGGGGAAACTCTTTAATCTTTACCATCACTAAGATGAAATCTGTTTTGTAGGCTAAAGTAGGGAGGGAAAAGGAGGTCGAGGCGGTTTTGTTATGCCTACGAGGTGCAAAGTCCGATGTATCAGAAGAAGCAGCAGAGATATTAGTAAGGATCTATGAATATATATGCATGAATTTTATCATATGATTTATATATCTTTTTTGAATTACAGTAATTTCTCAAAATTTTGATAATCATCAGGACTATACACAACATGTTAAACAACAACAGGATGTGGAAGACCGTGGTTTCTTCAAGCTGTTTCAGCGAAAATACGCATTATCACTTACCGTAAGTAACTCTTCAAAAATATGTACAAATTTTTTGAAAGCATTAATTTTTGCATTTTCTTGATTATTTAGCCCATTGGTTTACACAGATTGGAGTAGTTCTTATAACTCTGCCTCAGCTTGGAGGTCTTAATGGTTATACTTTTTACACTGACTCCATTTTCACCTCTACCGGTAAAGAAAACCTCGTTATTCTTTTTCGATCTTGCTTCATCGAACAGTTGATAATTATCTGATGATCAGGTGTATCGAGTGACGTTGGATTCATATCGACATCTATTGTTCAGGTTCTACTGATATAACATCATAGAGCATGATAATAATTCCTAAGGATTTTCGTATAACAGTCGAATACAGTATTCTTTTAAATGATAATTTTTTAAAAAAACAATCTTGCAGATGTTTGGAGGCGTTTTAGGTACTCTGCTTGTGGATGTATCGGGAAGACGTGCACTCCTACTGGTAAGTAAAGTTAAAAAATCGAAAATCGAACGTGTAATCGATATGTTATTTTGATCGGTTTTTGAGTGATTGTAGGTTTCTCAAGGTGGAATGTTCTTGGGTTGTCTTGCAACAGCCATTTCATTTTTCTTGCAGGCATGCTCTTACTCTCTACTAAACGGGATTAGTTTGGTTTTAATTTTCAAAAACCGGATTGTAATATCTCCGGTTTCCTTACTCTGCAGAAATACAATTGCTGGGAAACAGGAACACCTATCTTGGCTCTCATTAGTGTTCTGGTAATTAATCAACTATCATCACAATTAATAATTTAATTAAAAAAATTATTCCCTCTGCTTTCTAAATGATTGATTTTTTAGAAATTTCACGTATATTTAGAAACGGAGGCAATATTATTTAAAACAGAGCCAAAGTAAAAAAAATTGTTTTGCGTGTTTATTAAAATTAGGTGTATTTTGGATCATACGGATTAGGCATGGGACCGTTACCATGGATCGTTGCATCAGAGGTAAAATAAAAATACAAATAAAAATAAACCATATAGATATATGATATATCTAAATGTTAATTCATTATAATTTTGTTTATGTTTTCATATGATTTTAGATTGGGGAAATTGGCAAAAATAACACAAAAATTATAATCTAAAATCTAACCAAAAACTTCACATCCAATGGTCATGATTTTGTCACATAATCCCATTTTACTTACTTTTTAATTAACTTTTTTTTTTTGGTTATACGCCAAAATGATCCTTTTAGATTTATCCAGTGGACGTGAAGGGAGCAGCGGGAACCGTGTGTAACCTGGCCACCTCTATAAGCTCATGGCTCGTTACTTACTATTTCAGTTTCTTGCTTCAATGGAGTTTTACAGGTAATAATTAATCTTTAATTGTATTATATACAAAAAATAGTACTAGCTTTTTTTTAAATGTAAAATAAATGATCTTGGGAAAATGAAATAATTGCAGGAACATTTACGATGTTTGCCATAGTGATTGGCTTTGGATTTGTGTTCACGGCCAAGCTTGTTCCAGAGACCAAAGGCAAATCTTTAGAAGAGATTCAGTCTCATAATTTCACTGATGATTTTCCTTCTCAAGATTCTACAATATTCTAAAAATACAATAAAATTAAGATTGTAGATGTAAACTTTACCTCCAAGTTCTATCCGATTCAAACGTTTGTTTCTTGATATGGCCCTGCGTGGTTGTTTAATAAGATCTTTGTGTTTTAGAACATCTCTCCATTAGGGAAATACCCATAAGTGTATTTTACCAAATATGATATTAATATTTTTAATGTAACTAAATAATTAAATTATTAATAACATTAATATTAATGTGTTATCATATATAATAGTTAATTTTCTCTCACACGTCACCATTAAAAAAAAAAAACTACAAAAACAAATTGTTATATTATTTATTTATCTTAATCTATGGCACAATAGAAATCAACCTAATCGCCACTGAACATCGAAATTCATGATTTTTCCCAGAGGATCAAAAAGATTGTTGAACGACAAAATCCTCATCCCTGCTACTTATGAGATTCGTGTTGATGTTGATCCATTCACATGTCAACCTCCAAATTCTCCGTGGAAAAGTCTCGCCTTTGCAATCTCTTTTGCAGATTTCATTATGGTTGACCGGTAATGATCTATCTCCGTTTCCATATTGTCCGAATTGATTTGAAGATTCTACCCAGATCTCTTGGTTAAAGATCCTGGTGATTCAATTCATAGACGGCATGGAAGGCCTCATGTAAAGCACCATCGACTTTTGTTGCTGTGATTGTTGATAAAGCTCTTAATTGATAAAGCTCATGAACAATAACTTTCACTGCGTTGTTGCCGCACTTCATCGTCTCCTTCAACCTGGTACGTATCTTTCTCTATATATATATGCTCTCATTCAAAGCAATTGATGGTTTGTATACGTATTTCACTGAAAGCAATTGTTATTGAGAAGTGCCAATAACAAGTGCATAGTTTGTATACACACCCTCTTAAATTTCCTTCTGATTATGCTTCATATTGTATTTTCCCTCTACAACAAAATGAAATCTTGACGAATATTCTAGAAAACACTTTTCTCTCTCCAAACCAAGCAATTAGGGTTTTTCTCCCCATCTTCTTTTCTTCCATGGTTTCGTTTGTGTTTGCCTCGTTGCTCTTCGCTCCTTCTCCAAAGCGGCCGCCGTTTGCTTCTCTGCTGCAGTCTCCTCTTTTATGGAGTTTGTTTTCCTCCCAAATTTTTCACTTGTGATATAGGGAGCATTGTGTTGAAGGCGAATCTGCTTAGAGCAGAAGCGAGGACCCTAATCAATTCTCGTTCTTCAATAGATGGTGATGTCTATTTGGCCTTAACGACTATGGAGGTGTTGATTCCCTCTTTTAGTGGTTTCGATAAGAAATTTGTATGTTTTTTTCGATTACCACTTTGCTTGAACTTACAAGTTCAGTTCTATCCTCAAAGCTCTATTTGAGTATTTGTCGTTTTATCTTTACCATTTTGCTTGATCAATATGTTGATTGAGATTATGGGTTGTTTACCAAAAGAGTAGACAAGTCCACAATTGTTTTCCCAACAACATCTACTCGACAAGAGTACAACAACAAAAAATCTATATTCACGAGATTTCAAATTAGAAAAAAATATATAGTGCAGAGAATGACTAATTCTCTTCGTCCGTAATATAGCCAAATGACTACAACAATTTATTCTAACTAAATTTTTTAACCTGCTTAGACTTTAAATTCAGAAACAAAAAAGTACAAGGTTAAAAACAATCATAAAGGTAAAATACGTAACAAAAAAAACCCCCAAAAAAACATTCCCACGTGTCCACGCGGGTTACCACTTAATTAATTTTAATTCTATGCCCATTTTTTTTTGTCACAATTCTATACCCATTTTCTTATTTATTTTTTGAAAATAAGAAAAGCACAATATTTGTGTTTCAGTTCCGCATTTCTGGCTTCACGAGACCAACGATCTTCCAAAATAAAAAAGGTTTTGAGTTTTTTTCTCAGATTTATCTCTCTTCATTAAATAAAATATCCTCTCTTCTTCTACAACCTAATTCTCAAACCAAAAAAAAAAACAGGCTTTCTTGTGATTATGTTTATCTCTTCAAGACTGTAATGTAACAACTGAAGCGAATTTTGATTCATAATCTCAGATTTCGAGAAAAATGGCAGAACAAGATTCATTACTAACTTCTTCTCCTCACGAATCTTCTTCTTCGATTCTGTCTGAAATATCAAATGTCTCCACGAAAGCTTTTGTTCTTGCTTTCATTGTCGGTTCTTGTGGAGCTTTTGCCTTTGGTTGCATTGTAAGTTTCTATAATTTTCAAAAAAAGTTTCTATACACAAAAAATTCCTAATTTTCTTATAGTTTTCGGATTTATCATGCATGTTTATTTAGTTAAATATATTTTTCACAGATCGGATATTCAGCTCCTACACAGTCCAGTATCATGAAAGACTTGAATCTCTCCATCGCTGATGTAAGTTTCTCTTTCGGCTTATTCCAGTTATCTATTTCTGGTTCGACCGGAATTGTTTTTGGTTTAGCCAATTTTTACATTTTTGTCGTTCAGTATTCACTTTTTGGATCGATATTGACGGTTGGACTAATTCTTGGAGCGTTAATCTGTGGAAAATTAACAGATTTGGTTGGTCGTGTCTACGTAAGTTTTTCACTTAAGAATACTTAATTCTTAATTTAAATATTGGATTTAGTTAGAGAAGTAAAGTATATAATCTTCTTTTGTGATTTTATTGGAACCAGACAATATGGATTACAAACATACTCTTTATAATCGGCTGGTTCGCTATTGCATTTGCCAAGGTTTGTGATGTTTCTGAGTTTATTTTTATTTTTAATCTCATTTATGAGTTATTTTAGATTAACTTGATAATAATATATGATTTTAGTTCTTTCAAATATCTATTATTATTATTTATTAGTTTTGCTATTTAATTTCTTTTAAGGGTGTTTGGATGCTCGATCTTGGAAGGTTATTGCAAGGGATCTCGGTTGGAATTAGCGCATATTTGGTACGAAGGGATAACTTTTGTTTGTTTGATTTCGGTTTTCTGTTTTTTTTGGTATGCCATTTTGATTTAGAGGTGGGTATAGATTGAACATATTTTGCTTGTAAGTGTAAATTTTGGTTTTAGTTTTTTTTTTTAAAAGTTTGGTAAAGTAAAAGAGTTATATCAACTTTTGAGACTTGAAGATATTGAAAACGAGATTAAATCTATGGGTATGAGAATTTGAAATAAATCATATAATGTGATAATCATAGGGACCGGTTTACATCACCGAGATAGCACCAAGAAACTTGCGAGGAGCTGCTTCTTCCATGGCGCAGGTAAATTAAAAGAACCAAAATCTTGAAAATGTATTGTAAAAATGTTATGTTCCTAAAATACAATTTTTTTTTTAATGTCATACAGTTATTCGCCGGTGTTGGTATATCAGTCTTTTATGCACTTGGAACAGTAGTTACTTGGCGCAATTTAGCCATTTTGGGTTTGTAACAGAAATCAGTTCTTACGGAATGCAAAACGAACTTTCTCGTTTCCTACAAAGGAAAAAATATATATATATATACTGATGGTTTCGTGTTTTGTCTTTGGACAGGTTCTATACCTTCTCTTATGAGTCTGCCCCTTCTTTTCTTCATCCCCGAATCTCCGAGATGGCTAGTAAGCGCTTGGTTATAACAATTGCCTTTATGTTCACATTTTTCTTGTTTTTATTTTAAAAGAACATATCATTTTCGTATTTTTGTCAAATATCCTTTGGAAAATCTAAATTCAAACTCAATACATTTAGAAAACTCATGTACTGCAATAGATTTATAAACCTTTTTATCTTTACTTGAAAACTTGCTTTGCAAAGCCTTAAATCAAATAAACTAAGACGAAATCCTTTTTTTAGGCTAAGGTAGGTAGAGAAAATGAGGTTGAGGCAGTTTTATTAAACCTGCGAGGAGCAGAAGCTGATGTATCAGATGAAGCAACAGAGATATTAGTAAGG